TTTATTATAATTTTTTATAATCTTAAATTTCGTTAACTGTGCGTCGATATAACGAGATGTAAAAAAATTTGAAACACAGCTTGTCCCGAATGTCAAATGAACAATCTTATATATCTGATTATTCGCAATAGAATCAAAATACTTTCTCAAGTGGGAAAATAGCATTTACGCGGTTAAAGCGATTTACGCCGCGCAAGAGAAATTTGTTTAGGAAAATTGAAAGATTAGCTTATACATCCGCAGATGTATTTCGAACGTTGGTATTAATAATTACTTTCACATCAGCTTAGTTATCTATAATGCATAGAGTGCAAGTTGGAAACTTGTTCGAGATCCGCTTGATATATCTATCTGTCATACGAGAAGTAGGTGAATTAAAAAGAATTGGTAAGAATTCATCCTTAGGAAGTCAAACTTCTCATCTCTATAATGAGAGACTGGGCTTTATGTGTTAAACGCTTCTCTGCTTTTCATCACTTCTCTCTATTTTTATTCTGGGACGAAGCTATTTGCCATTTTTAAGAGAATATTATGGTACCCCTTATCTAAAGTTAGACTGTGTTAAAGCGATTTTTGTCTCGTCGTATTTACTGTTTACGAATATAGTGGTTCAACCATTATATTCAGGATAAAAAGAGATAAAAGAGAATCTAAAAAAGTGCTACAGTCTTGAAGTTCTAATTTCAAGGATAAAATATTTTTACTATCACCGAAGATGAGTCTGTCTCTCTCGTTCCTTTTAACTCGCCTATTTTCCTATCAGATCGATCTTGTTTCACGAACTAGAGTATGCCCATTAATTCTAGCGAATCTTATGACTCGAACATGCGTCTTTAAAGTTCGTCGCGTTGAACGGCACGAAGTAATCGTCATGGAGTTGCCTAACGATATTCTCTATCGGGCACAGCTTGACGCTCTTCTTGCTCATAAATTCCCCGTCGTCGCTGACGTAGGTATTCGCGTTCCTACAGAACGGGACCTTCGGTGTGAGGTCTCGGCCGTTGGCGACGATGCGGAAGTAGAAATCGCTAGCGAGGCGATTGTCGTTCCGCGGATTGATCTTGTAGACCTCGATGACGAGCCGCGAAGCGTAGTGGGTCGCCACGTCGGAGACTATGCCGAGGGCGGTGGCGAGGTATTCTAAGGTCTTGTCGTGGCCGGAATAGAGGACGATCTTGGGCCTGGCCTCAGAGATGATGCGCAGCAAGAAGGTGACGATGCCACGCAGCATCCCGTAGGCCTTCAGCAGCCCGTATTTGTTGCGGCTGCTACTCTTGGCGACCTGCTTCGATTCCCAATCCGTGTAAGCGAACAATCCGGTAACCTGATCGCTTTTCACGCACGTGCGCTGGGTGTCGAGGTCCGCGCACGGCAGCGAAGCGCCGTGGCACACGTACGTTAACAGGGCATCCCTCAGGGTGTTCGGATCGCACGTCTGCGCTTGATCCGGAAGCTCGAAGACGGCGCTCGCCGCCTGCTTGATCAGCTCCCCGACGGCCGGATGGGATTTCAGATGGTTGGAGGTCTCCTGGGGAAAGTAAAAGTAACGTGTCTGCAGAGGTCCGCATGATCCTCAACATTTTCGTGAATGCTCCCCCCGGAGCTCTCCACGAATACTTTATTAAGATCCAACTGAATTATTCTTCTGATATCAATAACTACGGGAAATGCGAACTACGGCTAACACCTCGATTTCCGAAAAGATTTCAGTAATAGAATTAAATGGGCTTTGGAGATTTGTGTGGAAAAAGTTTTCGTCGATTTTAATTATACTCGTCAAAACTCAAATTCAGGTGGAGCTTGAATGTAACTCTTCGAATCTTATTTATAATTAATTTTTTAATCGAAAATTCTAAACTTTTACCACAAGAATTTAATAAAAAAAGTAATTATTGAAATGTTAAAACATATTATTATTATCTCTCGAAATTTTAGGAAAGATTCACATTCTCTTATGCATTAAACATGCGACACATCTCCACATACGTGTCACGTGCCATACAGACAGCGAACGGAAGTTATGAGGCAAGATTTATTTTTGTAGAAAGAATTATTATCGCGTGTAAGTGTTTTATTTAGATAACTCGCACTGAGAAATCAACGTTTGCCAGCCTTAGAATGACCTACATAATTTTATTGGATTTCCTGAGAAAGCAAGGAGAAGAGCGATGTTGATACAGATTATTTAACATGTTTCTCTCTGAGAAAACTGAAATGAGATCTTAGGTCATTAAAACTTCCTCGGAAAGACGGGAATAGCACAGATGTAAATTTATCGAATCTCTCCTGGAAAGGTGGAAAGGTGACAAAAGTCACCGTTTTACGTACATCTTTAAAAAATGAAACGAAACTGCGCGAGAAATCCGACGCGGGTTTTAATTACTTCGTACAAAAATTACTCGAATTTAAAAGACGATGTTTTACAATTCTATCCTTTAAGCGAACGTACCGATCGCGTAAATTAGTAAATAATTGCGAAGGTGTGATCGCTCAAATTTCACAGGAAACGATCGTCCAACATGATTTATCTCTTGCCAATATATACAGGAAGTCTACGAAATAATCGGATTCTCAGATTTTCGATTCGTATATACTCGTATATATAAACTTTACCTTCAAGTGCTGTTTCAGAAACTTCTCGGCGGCAGGACAGGCGCACTCATTGCTGCAGAACGCATAGCTCTGGCTCTCCTGTAGGCTGATCCTCGCCAGACTGTGGAAGCCGTCGTTCTCGAAGAGTGCGTACAATAACGCGACCGCGCTCTGTACGGTCCTGCGGTAGGAAGTGCTGTAAACGATAACATCCTTGCCGAAGGAGGTGCCATTGCCGAGATTGAGCCGGTGGTAGTACGCGTTCCTCAGCGCGATCCCGGTCTTCAACAGCTGCAGGATGCCGAGGGTGGTGAGCTGACCGATTCTACAGTCGCGTGCGTTCGCCGGCAACACGGGGAGACCGTGGAACGGACCCAGGAACTGGGCCCAGGCGGCCCGAGAGTAGCTCGACGCGTTCTGCACGAAGCTCACGTAGTTCTCGTAGATCGTCTCGAGCTCGGTCACAGTGCCGAGTTCACCCCCGCAATTGATGCTGCTTATGTTCCGTATGTGCGTCAGAGGACCCCGGTCACCGTGGCGGATGAAGATCAGGATGCCGCTCAACGTCAAATTGCCATCGAGCTTCCCTGTTAGAAAGTAAGGAAGTAAGGTGAGATATTTTACGTACGATATTTTATGTGCGTTATACACGCAATCTCGTATAATATAATAAGATAATTTTGAAACTCTTGTGCTCTATGCGCGTACACTTACGCAAGAAGAAAGTGATTTCTAGCGATTTCTAGCACGAGTAAGATCAAACGGGATTATTGACTTTGTGCCATTTACTGTTTACTGCGATTATGCACGAAGAGCTTTGACGATCGACTTCTTTGATATTTGAGTAACGTTTAATATGATTGATGAGGAATTATTGATTTATATGATACGAAAGTGTTGGTCATCGTGACTGGAATATTCCATTTTCGGTCAATTTTCAATTCACAAAGTATTACATTATATTACTCTTTATTTAAAAATATATAAGGATAATTGGATGAAGGTACCTTCGGTGTCTGCAGCTATCTCGTGCGGCAGATTGCAGAAACGAAAGATCTTCTTCGTTTTCGCATCTGATTTTAAGTTCCTTGGGAATTCTCGTAGCGACAAATCATTGTTTGGGACTCTCGTTTGCATCGAGGTTTTATCATCTACGCCGATATATTTATACATACCTGCACAATAAAAGAGAAACTGTCTATAATCGATAACTTTTAAATCGACGAATTCATATTATTTTATTTATATTATTATTACGATCTCTAATACATTTTCATTTTATCTGAAAGTATATATGTATATTGAAAATTGAAATAATTAAACTTGAACCTGTAATCGACATCTTTCATCGACGATAAAATCTTATTTAAAATAATTTTATCATTACTCTCATGTTATTATTTCGATTCATATTACCAGGAACCGGTTTAAAAAAAGAACAACGTTCTCTTAGCATTTTTATTTTATAATAATTTCTTCCTGCCTAATGCATTTTGATATCAATATTATTAAACTTGGATCTGTAATTGGCAGCTTTTAAATCGACGGCAAAATCTCATTTCACGTAATTTTACTTATATTATTATTATTATGATTTATATCGTTAGGCGCTAGTTTTAAAAAGGACAACGTTTTTCTGGCATTTTAATTTTTATTTGAAAACATAATTTCTTTCCCGCTGATGCATTTTGATTTACCCTTATAGTACATATTAATATTAAAATATATGACGAAACTGCATTAGGGAAAACCATTAACTTTTATTCTCGACTTATATTTCGATGAAAAATATAACGTCAACAGAAAAGTTCGAGTGGATTATTGAATAGATTCCGATGAGTTTATTTTCTTTTCAGGTCGTCGGTTTAGCAACGTGTGTCAACGACTGATGATTGACACTTCCTTTATTTTGCGACAAAAAGAAAGTGAAATAATCGTCACCTTGATCGCGCCTGATAACGTCCAGGCTACATCATCCACTATTGAAAAACTAAAGTGTCTATTATTACAGTTCTATTATTAAAGCCGAAGTGATAACGCGGAGAAACGTTCAAGTAGCTGCGCGACAACTCATACTCACGTATGCATGTCCTATATTTAAAAATAAAAACCGTAGGATCGAAATATTTAAGCACCCCAGAGAGAATTCGACGAACGTGAAAAATCCGAGAAACAAATGTAAGGTACGGCGCCAAGAAATGTTCTCTCTTCCTGTTTTCGAAACACGATCAATCTCGACGCGAGTTCGATAGATTCTTTTTGCGATGTAAGATGCAACGCGTAATCTCTCGTTTATCGCGGACAGATATATGCGAATCATCTCGCGCGTGTCTACCGCAGTGTCGAGATCTGGGAACAGTACGATACGAAATTTTTACGACAATTTTTACGGCATGGTCGATCTCGAACATTTAGCGGGACCATTTCCGCACGTATCCGGCGCGGGATAGCACGTTGTTTGCGTTTTTACCAGCGACCAGCAGGAAGATCCACACGCTCAGAATCACGTAGCAATAGAACGCCCTGTGCTGATAGGAGAGCCGGACCATTTCCGCGAGCATCCCTCGGCGGTTTCTGGTCCCAAGGGACCGATTCGCAGACCAGCGAGCGGTAACGGCGTCCCGACGTCACGACGACGACGACGACGATAACGTGGAGCGGCGCGAGGACGAGAACGCGACTTGATTTCCGTCCCGCACGAAGGGGCCGATCGAGGCTGCATCTTCAGACGCCCGTCGACCACACTTTCCGCATATTCGTCGATGGTCCTGCGACAAGAGATTGCGCCCGATCGGACAATCGGCGACGACGATAACGAGGACGAGGAGGACGGGGAGAATCGCCGACTTCCCTGCGGCGCGTATGCCCGAGATAGAACTGCCGGTCCTGACATGGCGATAACAGGGGTAGATTTGCGAGAGGGTGGTTGTTCCAGGCGCAGGCGCCACCCCACCGTGCGCCCTCCACCCTGAGGAGCCGACTAGAGTTCTCCACGACGGGCTGGTCGGTCTACAGGGTGGCTCACCCGCGACGTTTATCGACCTTCCCTTATCCGGCGCGGTTATCGAATGCGGGGTCTCACGGTCGCAGCCGGTCGGTTATACGTTCTCCGTCGAGAATGAGAGAGATTCGCTCGTCTTGTCGCGTCGCGTAATATTAAAAATAGATTCCCCGGACATAATAATGAGCTTTCTCTTGACAATTATCATCCGACCTGAGAGACGCGAGAGATGTCAAGATGACTGACGGATTATTCTTCCAGCTGACCGACTTTTACAGCTAAACACAATCCAGATATCTCTCACATAGATATCTCTTGTATGTCTATTTTAACGTGTGTTTATTTTTCCTGCGACGCTCAAGTTGTCGCGTAATCGTATTTTGATGCTAAAATAATTCTTTTGACGGTGTTTCGTGTGTTTATTTTAATTTATTTTTCCCTCAGTATTGCAATTATACATGTAATCGTATGGTTAATTTTAATGCTAAAAATATTTTTGACAACTATATTTTGACGACTGTATTTTGCGAACATTTTTTTTATTTCTTTTGTTTTTCCCATTCTTATGAGAGTTTCAGAAGACCGATTAATTAAAAGATCAAAGATTGCATCAGCATCGTCAATACACAAGATAAATCAAGGAAAAATAAAATCACTTCAACGATAACGATATCAGTTTTTATAAAATTATAAGCTGTCCGTAGCAGATGCTTGTCGAATCTTTGTTATTTCATTAAAAGGATTGCATTAATTTCAACAACGTATAGACACAGACCGCTTAGTTTCCTTTGCGTACGCAATAGCGAGCTAAAATCGTATCAAGCGTGCAATCAGCACTAAGCCGGTTAATTCGGTTGCCTCGGTTTTCGAAATTAACCGACCTTTAAGAGGTATATTTAAGAGATATCCAGTTGTATCTCGATCACTCTTCATTACAATTAAATACAGAATTTCCGATGATCATTGGCAACCATGATCTTCCCTCCTTGGTGTCTTCTTTTTTAAAAAAATATTTCTAATATTTATAGCAAATATTAATTTCTAATATTATTGATAGCAAAATATTACATAATATTTTTAATATTTCTGAAACGCTTAATCGCAATTTTAATATTTCAAAAATAGTTTTCAATTTAAGCAAGATATAAAAATTATTTAGATATAAAAAATAGATATACAAAATATAGATATATTTTCTCTCTTAGATAAAAAAAAATATAGATTCTATTATTCTTTTCTGCGTTAATATATAGTAATTTTAAATAAAATATTTTTTTATAAATTATATACACTTAAATAATACTTTATCAATGTAATAATTTAATACTCTATCTTTTCATTCACATTTGTCCTTAAATAAACATTTTGTTTACAGCACGCCAATGACTCTTACTTGATCAATTTCTGGATTCCCCAATGCCATCAATTCACGGTCGACGATTCGACCTTGCCTTAATTATGCTTTTGGAGGTTTTCGACAATATATTCGGATTAACATAAAATAAATACGAGCGTGAAAAGCAAGGCCTAGCGCCGAGGACGAGCCCCGGGATCGAGCCGAGGAAAGCGGATGTCGTGATGTCATCCAAGCGGCTTCGCTGCGCCGCGCCGGGCTCTCTCGGCTCGGCCCCGTAAATATATTCCGTTTAAGACTGATGGCTAGATTGTCCCGCAGTTGACGGTTAGTCTCGGGGTTCTCATATCGGGGCAGTTGATGCGACGTTACATCGACACAGGCCGAGTTACACGCGAGTAATCGCGCCCGTCTACCATCGCCGCGACGCACCGCGCCGGGCACGCAACTGTCATTGGTAATTGAACGCCCCCGCGGCATTGCGAACTTAAACGGTCCCCAGACGAGCGATATTCTTTGTTAATAAGAAATTCCTCTCCTCTTCTCCTTCGTCCGAAAGTAATATCTCTTGCTAGAGTGAGAGAAGAGATAGGACAAATGTGCTCGGTGAACCGATTAGAAAACGCGTCGACTGTATTTCTTTCTTGAGTAGGGCAACAATAATTTTATCACGTGCATTTATTTTGTTGAGAAATAAAAAACACTACCCAGCAGAATAAAAAATCATTAATGACGTTAAAATAGCGCCAAAATAAGCCTGAAAATAATTATTAGTCACTTTTCAATTAATCAAGATTTATTTTAATGTGATTTTGACGTTATTGTGTTACCTGTAGAATCTGTGTTTCTGCTTGGTACCAATATCTGAGGATATTATATATCAGATTTATAAATTCGGGAAAAATACTTTCTATCTCTAATTTATAATTACGCAATGATATTTACGAACGCTTGCCAATATAATATTGTTCTTTTCGAAATAATACGAATCTGTTACTTTGCACGATTTTAAAAATAAGTATTATTATACTGGAAAGTTAAATAAAACTCATAAAGTAATACAATATCAAAATCAGGCAAATCAAGTGTTTAATTATCGAACTCGAATTACTATTACTTATATAAAGTCAAGAAATTCAGTCTTTCGTGATATTAGTATTTTGTAGAATTAATGACGACAATTTCAACGAGATAAAAATGCGCAGTTCGTGAGGATTAAAAAATCGCGACTGTATATATATATATTACTTGTAATTCAGCTCATTAGAGTCCTTTAAGCGTTCACATTAAATCACCTTGCGACTATCACCGCCTTGGCATTGCGACTATCATTTCTCTTACAATTAATTTAAATCTCTCGGCGTCTAATGTCGGGCGAGCGAGAGAGCATCCGGTATAGTGATGTAACGCGCATCGTCGTGAAGAATAAATTTGTAGCTGGCTGCAAACACCAGGACATTGTGCGACATTTCTAGACGTACAGCCGTCACCATTGTCGTCATGATATGGCGTCGCGTCGCGTCGATCGCTTCGCAATTCGCTTCGAAATTCGTGAGTAGACTTCAGAATTCCTCCGCGATCTCGTTGCGCAAATGTTCCGCATCGGCAGTCGCGGGAGCAAAGTCTTTTTGCAAGCCTGCATGTAGCCTAGAATGCATCCTCAAGGATCCACCGATTGAGCGTGTTTGATTGGCGATCCCACTCTGTGTCTCGTCGTAGTTATCATCGTCGCCTGCCAGCGTGCCCGATCTCGCAGCCTCGGCAAGATCATTACCATCGTCATGGAATGTCATTGCGGTAATGATAACGAGCACCCTTGTAACGAGATGCGCGGCATGCAAGAATTCGTGATGTATCTATCTGCGTGAGATATTACTTTTTCAACAATTTCTTACTTTTAGCGCATTTTTTCAACAATGCAATTATTTCACAAATTACATCTAACTGTAGGAAATTAAACAAGCGTTTCACAGTAATTATCGAGAGAACAATGAGGATTATTATTATATACTGTGAATTATAACATTATGTTAAATTGTAATATCAGAATGTATTTGAATATTGAATAACTATGCTGCGTTGAATATATTATAGTAGAAATTGTTTGTTCTGATATAGATTGAACAAAAGTTTTCATCGACATAGAATGAAGAAAATTCATTTCAAATTGATCAAAGAATCGAAGAAAAGCTCGGATCAAAAGTTTATTTCTATTTGACCGATTATTTGCTATATTTTTGTAATACGACAGATAAGTGGGTATTTAGTTTCAATAATTTTTCGTACGTGAAATTGTTAAAAATTTAATTCATCATTTTTAATTTCAATAATTAGTTTCTAGAAAAAAAAAATAATGAAAGAGCATTCTGAAATCCGAAAAAGTACAATAAAATTTATTTTTATATTTAGTTTTCTTCTTTTTGAACTTAATATTCATGTGATAGTGTATTCTCCAATGTATTTAAAACTGAAATTGCTTTCTTCTTCTTTTCGCAAGAAAAGGATTATATAAGAGATAAATTCAGGCAGTTCTTTTTGGAAGAAATGTGGACCAGATAAAATCGTCATTTTTAACTTAAGGCGAATTATTGCAAGACTACCAGCTTAAAGATTCTATCTGAAACATGATCAAGTAGTATCTTAAATCCACAATCTTGGTTGTAATTGACGAACATACGTTCTTAGTGAAATTCAAGCGGACGAATGACGAAAGCGAATGCGTTTGGAGAAACTATAAATTAGATTGGGCGAAATTAAATCTCTCAAGGGTGCAATTATGTAAGTGTCAGCATTCCATTTAATATTTCAAATTTAAATCATTTCGCAATTAGTCCATTTTTTTGAATATAATGTCGTTTACAATTATTTCATTCTGTCTATTTGTTTTCAGTAACTTGTCCTCAGTAATTACACTAATCTTTAATTAATATTCCATTTTAAATATAATATAGAAATAGTTTTGTTTGTGTATATATATATATATATATATATATATATATATATAA